TGGTAAGTTTGTTTCCTTCCAAGCTTAGTCGCCTTAGAATTCAAAATAGCTACCGCGGAGAAAATCGAGGCTCAGATTCAGTTTGAGTGGACACAACTTGAAAGTGAAACCCTGAGGAGTTCAATGGCTGCAACTGTCATGGAGATGTATCCGGGTTGCCCGCCAAGAAACGGGTCTCCAAGAAAGAGCCCAACTCAAAGCCAGAAAACTTCATCACAGCCTCATTGCATTCACCTCTGAAGAAAGATAGAGAGAGAGAGACTTGGTGAATTATTTGAAGCAGAAAGGTCATTTCGGTGCAAAAGCATACATGATCATACATACATATAGAAAGAGAGAGAGAGAGAGAACGAAAGACAGAGACTCTCGGCCATTTCACAATAACCTCAATCTGAAGAGTGTCATTACTTTGCCAGAAACCCACAGAGAGAAAGAGGCTCAGATTCGCCTTTATCAGACAAAGATCGAAACTTTACCACCATGGCCGCAGACAAAGCACTTTTCAAAAATACCCAGAAGCCGCCTGGCCATGATGAGCAAGGATTCCCCACCGTCGGATCATTTCACATAGAAAACAAGCGTCATCATCACAGCCTCGTCACAGAGACAGAGAGAGAGAGAGAGAAAGAGATCAGAGCGTGTTGTGCTTGTGTTGTTCTGTGTGGAAGCTAAGAATGGTATGTTGTGTTGGTGATGGTGGGTAAACCTTGCCTGTGCAAATCACTGGCTTCATGACAAATCAAGGGAAAGGACAATGACCCTTCGAGAGCAAAGCCTCATTCTTAAACTAATGAGTTTGTGGGTAGTAAATTGTCGTCAAGGCAAACTTCGGGTGGGAAGACGATGTAGTTCGGCCATTTGGAAACCCCAAAGGCAAAAGCCTCTGTGAGTTGGTCGATGTATTTATGCTTGGTGGAACTTGGTTCTGGTTTGTTATTCCCAATTTACCCTTGTGCTGTTTCTATTGTGTTATTACCAATTTACCCTGGGTCGATCCAAGTATCTAGTCACCTACTAGTTACATACATTCTTACCATCTTCCTACTGTTTGCACGGGTTCCAAAGATCAACCGGGAGTTCCACCTATGGATTCCAAAGATGAATCAGTGATTCCAGTTTTGAATTCTATGGGTCAATCAGAGCTTACAACCCTTTGTGAAGCTTTCTTCCATAGAGAGAGCTCATCTAAATGGTATCTACTTTCGAACCAAATAAATTTTCACTTTGAAAAATGTTTGGGGAGCGGTTTCTTTAAAGAATTTTCAGTAATTATTTATACTACATTTTGAAGTCCAGATTGTTAGTACATTGAGGTTTTTAATAGTTCAGAATTGAGAATTTCGGCCATGTGTTTAATATTTCTACCGTTCTTGGAGTGCAGAAATGGGATGCTGTGGTTCTTGTTTGTTTAGCTTTGTATGTCTGGGCGATCTTTGGTTAGCATAAAGGAAGTGTGAAGATGTCATCGTCTGCAATTTGGTTTTCGACTTAGCTTGTTTTGGTTCAAGGGGAAGAGGATGATTGAAGAAGCAGCTTGATGTTAAGTATGATGAGAATGAGAAGGCAACTTGGGATATACACTTGCATGTTGGTTAGAGGTAATTTTGTTTCTTCTTCTTCAAATTTGATCATAAATGAATGAAATTGTCTTATTTTTTCTGTTTGGTTTCAAGAACAGGATGAGGGAGTGGATCTGAAGCAACTCGGCTCAATCAACAGGATCAGAATCGAAGCAACTTGGTCTCAATCAACAAGATCAGAATCTGAAGCAACGTCTTCTTGTTCTTAAATGGCAAGTACCACTTCAATAGAACATGAATAGATTAAAGTATGGAGTGGTTAAACGGTATCCTCTTTCATATCGATAATAAACTTTTCTTAACAGCAATGGACTATACACTTGTCAGGATAAAGAGTCATGGCAAACGTCAATCTGGAACTATGAAATATATAAGTAGTAACTTGTCACAATGAGAGAAATCTAAAATGAAAATACGTTTGTATAGTGAAGGTGATTGGTTTAAGATGATAGGTTGATTGTAATAGTGAAGGTGACTTAGTATTAAGATGATAGTACGTAACGATCTTTTGCAATAGTGAAGAGTGATTCACATTAAGATGAAATAGTTGCAGGGGTGAACAACAAATGATTATGAACAATGGAAGAGAATGACTGATGTATTATTGTTCAAATGTGTATCACCAATCCTTTTGAGACGCTACAGGCGAATCCTACGTCGAATTATTGTATGATGTCTTATAACTTTTCTCTTGTTCTTCTTTCAGGTTTTTACAAACCTCTTTCAGTGGCAAGTCATTGGTTTCTTCATCATCTGTTAATGCCATTTGTGATTGCCTCATTCATACTGAGTTGTTCTTTATCCAAAAACCTAGTCCAGCTTGCACTTAAGGTGGACTCTTGGTGGCAATTCATTGATAGTTGATCCTTCTTTGTGTAGACACTTACCACATCTGTACTGACATCAAGATTACTGTCAATTTCCATATTTTTGTACATATTTGTAATGCAGAACACAATTAGGTCAGAGAATGAACTGAACCCTTCAATTTTTAGCTGTTCTTATCTACTTAAACCTATTTACTGTGTTGAGAGCCAATATGAGAATGCATTCACTAAGTGCTTTTAATGTATTCATGTGCACAACACATGGTTAATTCAGCCATCAAGTTGTTGAAACTACTGCATTCTCATGGTTGAAACGTTGGATTTTATTTCAGCAATTCAAGCGTCCTCTGAACTTGGAGAAATTTTAATCCCTTTCCAAGCTACACACAAACAAAAAAACAAAACCAAATTATAAACACAAAACATTGATAAAATGACAAGTAATTAGCTAGGGGAGCATATAAATGCAGGCTCAAATTCAGCTTGCCTAAAAATATTATGTTTTCCTCTAGGTTGGTGGGAAATATAGTGATTTATGGGGAAAAAAGAAAAGAAAAAACCCTATTTTTTCTTCTCTTTTTATCCTCTTCCATTGTCGGCAATTGCCGCTGACGTTGGAGAGTGCCGATGACAAAAAAACCAACAAACAAATCATAAATATTGCAAATAAACATTCCTCAATCGTCTTTTAACCCAACAAACACAAAAACCGAACAAATCAAACCCAATTAATCAATCAAAACTCAAAAAACCCTGGGGTGGGGAATTTTCAATCGCCGGTGATTGATGAGCAAATGGGGTTGAAAATGTTGGGGCTTTTGGAGAGGACGATCCAAGGAATTGATTGGTGGTGGCAAGAACAATTTTCGACACTAAAAACGACTGGAAACTGGCTTAGAAATTGAAAGGTCACGCGATGTACGACTAGCGATCGATGAGCAAGGGATAGTGATGGAGGTAAAGGTTTTGTAGAGTGGGTTGTGAGGAGTGTGATGCTGGTGTCCAAGGGAATTTTTGGCAAAAAAAAATTGATTGGAAATCTGGCTTGAAGAGTCAGCCGTGCGAATGAAGGTGATGGTGAGTGATGACCCAAATGGGGCCTACCTATCCAAGTCTGAATGAATGTTAATTGGCAACTAGAACCTTGGTATGTTTGAGAAAAAGATTCAACTTCTTATGTAATTGTAGTTTTGTTTGGTGCAACTTCTGTTAAATAGTTAATGTGTTGATTCTAGCCAGTGAGCATCTCATGTAATGCCAACAATTTTAAACCAACTTATCACTCTGCCACCCCCAAACAATTCCAACATATTTATCTCATCTCAAACAACTTATTGTAAAAGGACTAATTTCATAAACCACCCTTGGGTTTTCAAAGAATTGTGACGGACCACCATTAAAGTTTAGAAAATAAGTCAAAAAGCACTCTTGTGGCTGATGCTGCTTCACTTTTCCTAACAAAAAGAATAGCTTTATATATGCGGTGAATTATACTTAACAATGAGAATGTTTAGAGCTGAGTTTACTGGCATAGAATTNAGGTCATAACACACACCTGAGGTTGTTTTAAGTATGGGCAAACCTTAGGTGGTTTTAAAGGATTTATCCCTTTCTTTGTTCTAACTTCTAAAGAAATATTTGAGGTCAATGGTAACCAGTATTAACATGGATTAGTAGCAACAACCACTGGGTGGCCGAGCAGTCAATTAGGACTCTTAGACGTATTACTCAAAAGGTTTTAAATTCAATCCACCTCAGTTACTAATAGAGGTGACTACTAGAGGTAAACAAGTATTCAAGAGTACTTGATAACAAAGAAGTATTACGATGCACTAATAACAGTAAACAACAATAAACAGTTGGAAAGACACAAAAACAATTGGTTTATTACTGTTCAATATGGTATTCTCATCCTCTATTTAGTCCCATTTGTGAGTATTGACATTCTTGTATCACAATGACATCTACAATGCTCTAATGCCTTTATCTTTAGGGATAGTCAGTTTACACACTCTATCCAAAGATATACTTTGGCTTCCTCCTAGGTTGGCTCCTGCTGGTGGTCTTTCTATGTAAGCAGTTTATGAAGGCACTTATGAACATCAAGATCATTGTCAATTTCTAGTAAAACTCTGTTTTCCTACCATGTTTATACATATTTTGCAATGCAGAACAATTTAGATCATGAGAATGAACTGAATGTATGTGGAGTGAGGGCAATAGGGTCATTTCCCTTGAGGGTGTTTTGGTCATTGTAAAGTGATATGCAGAAATACAAATCATAATCTTGAGTTGCAATTGAAAATTTTTGTGTAACCATATTCCTCTTACTCTTGCTCTTTATCCTTGTGTAAATCATGATTACATGAGGCTCTGAGATGATTGCTCTAACTCTAAGCAAGCTTCATCTTATACAAACCCTACTAAAATCCTATGCTTGAAGGTGCAAAACAACAATGTCTATAGCATTCTGCATCGGAGAATATTGTAGTTGTACATTGGTTGCATGTTCAACCGACCAATTGTAACGTGTGTGAATGCCACATGTGTTGATTCGGCATGCTGCAACGGATGTACGGAAGAGAGTGCAATAGAATTTGCACTGTCTATAGCATGAAAACAGACTGATGACAACCAAACTGTGACTGTCAACAAAGAAGGCATATGAATGTAGAATAAATATTTGCCTATATCATAAAAGAGGCAAAGGCAAAATACAACGAATCAATAAATAAAAAGATGTTGGAAGCAACTGCAACAAGGCTTTGAAGATCTGTGGTTGTTTGATTCTTTCCTACAGAAATTTACATGGCCTCCCTACCCCTCTGTTGGATTACCGTTCTGTACACGACTTCCCCAGCTGAGGTAACAAAATAGGTCACCTGCCATAGAAACATGCCTCAGTCAGTGTTTTAATAGACATCGGAACCTAATCGATTGCACAAAAATTTGAAAATTTTGAAAGTAAATACGCACAATCTCAAGGGAGCTGACTCTGTGGAGAAGAAACCCATCAACCATTCCTCTGAGGAACCAAGAAACAAATTATGAGTGAAAACGAGTATCATAGAATGAAGCATTCATTACAGAAAACTGACCTTCCATTCACAGATTCAATGAGATCCGGATTCTCTATATAAGCTACACTATCCTGACGGGCAAATTCAGCGCAACCATGCTTGCTTAGATATGCATTCTGACAAGCAAAAACAACAGTTAGGAGTTGTATGCAAGAAATGGAAGAAATATAACTCCCGTTTGATGAGGTTTATCACCAGTTCACAAAGGTTTTAGTATGGCCTCAACAAGATTGTTTTACAAATTCTAAGAGATTCTTCAAATCTCGCCGAGGATGCTGAACACAAAGAAGCTTTACTTCTTACCACTCCAAGTTTCATGAAGATACGGTGTAGAGGCTCATAAATTTTCTTTGCTTTGATTTCCTCCTTATTCTCTTCACAGATAACCAGTGGGTGAAATCCAACTACTATGCACCTGGATTTACAAAGACGACAAAAAGCCGGTCAATAATTAGCATGTGTATAGCGGCATTTGATAACACAAAGCAAACATAGACTACTGCATTATGAGTTAAGGAAAGTTTAGAGATAAGTTCATAAGATCACGTATTCTCGATTAGAATAAATTTATGAACTGCCAATAGGATTCAGACTGCATTTACCAGTGACCATTGGTTGCTTCCAGTGTCCTTGTCAGCGAGCTTAACTGATTATCCCCAGTGCCATTCGAAAATCTTGATAGCATAGTCTCCTTAAAGTTTCATAACATGCAGCAATGAGAGGAAACAAGAATGAAGATTCAGACAAAACAAAACAAAGAAGAATATGTTGACAACAAATTTCAACAGATTTATAATGTGTTAATCCAATAAACAAAAATCAACCTGTAATGAACCAGTATCCACGCCGACAATTTCTAACGTTTCACCATGAGGTAGTTTGATCTGCTCCCGGAAGCAACCAACTTCCTTCTCCTCTGAAACTCTAGTAGTGTACCTGCAAGCATTAACGATTGGAGGGAAAATATTCTTAGCCATAGAAAAGTGTTACAATCTCATACATTGTAACGACAAATAATAACATTTTTATCCAACGTGAATGTACCCAAGTCAGAGATCTGATTGCAAAGAGAATAGTATACCATGGAACTCTCAGAGATGGGAAGAGCTGGGTAGCCTGCAAAAGATACATGTAGGGTTGTTGCTAGCTGTTGAAACAAATTAAGCAGGGAACAAACCACTGCCATGATTTTGGCCCTTGGTGAACCAACGCATAACTTCCCATACATAAAACATACACATATACTTTTTTATATGCATAAAGAGTAGCACATTATGCAGTATGCAATTTTATTGTTTTCAACATAAATTGGGGTCTGAAAAGATGATGAAAAGAGATGAGATCTTACATTTTGTTTGAGTGGATCATCTTCCCCAAGCTCACTAGTGTTGATTACGAATCTTACTTTGTAAGATTTCGCCACAAGATCCATCTTCATCAACAAAAAGAACACCAATAAAGGAAGTATAAAATATGCAAACTTATGGCAATTTGAAGTCATGAATTTTATATGAAGAACACAAACTTAGGAAGTAATGCAGATTTTTTGACCAGTAATGTATCAATTAATCTTATCGGTATAACATAAGAAGGTTTTACACATTGCAAATTGGAAATGAATTCAACACCTAAACCATCAATCTAAAATTACAACCAAAGCACAATTATAATACAATTATAGCCATTCATAAGAATGAATAACAAGTCCATAAACCAAAAATTAGAGAATTTCTTAGCACATTCAATACATAGCAACCACAGAAGCCTTACCCTCCAATAATAATCAAAGAGATTAAAAACCCTTAGAAATAGCCTCTACTCAGTTGAAAATTGAAAAAGACCAAAACTTTAAGCAAAAACAGACCAAATAACACATACCCAGGAACAAAAACCAAACCAACAACAAAAGCAGAAAGCAGAAGTCAATGGAGAAGTTGAAAAAACCAACCTTTTTGAGCAAAAGGGTCTGCAGTTGAAGTGGTCTAAAGCCTCCAGAAACACTGATAAAGTAAAACTGATCCCTTTCCCTGTAAATTGAGGTTTGAGGGTGACCCATGTTGAGGGCAATGTAGAGAGCAGAGAAGAGACAAAGTTGTGTGGCCAAAGTGCAAAGCCAGATTGGTTTTCTCTCCATTTTTACAGGGCTTTCCTTTGTTCTGAGACTGGTTGTTGTTTGTTGTAGTTTCAGACTTTTCAGTCTGTAACTGTTAGATCCGAAATCCATGAAGTCCCTTGAGTTGACAGATAAAGCTTGTGCATCATTGTCAGGTCCATGTGACACATGGGGACACCGGACACTTACTAAGATAGAGACGAAAGTAAAAGATAGGAATCTTATAAAAATCTTTTAGCAGACCACTTACGGTACCCAACTTTATTATTGATCCAACGGTTTAAATGATAAGGATATTATCTTTGTAAATATAATATAATTCAATTTTAAATTGTTATCATAGTATTTCTCACTCAATCTGTCATTTTCATATACCATTATTGAGTTAAGATTATAGTGGGGGTAGAGTCGGAATTATTGTATTACTCAGCAGCTTCCTTCGTTATTTTGCTAATATGAACTTTGATTAAACAAGTTCAATAAAGAATTATGACAGACTAGGAAAAATGAAATCTTATTGTGTAATGAAAGAGATATAAGATAAGGAATCTTCCTCAAGTTGTCCTTTTGTTTTTTTGTCATAATCAATGAAACCACCACAAATTGTCATATCATATCGGATATAGCAATTTCTAATATAACAAATTTATTAATGTAATCGATGATCAAACACACACATAATGTTTGAATGATGCCAAGTCTTTGTGAGAGAAACACAAAAACTGCATAATTTTCACCTTCATTTCTGTTTTAAGTTCCAATCTTCCCACTCAAACAAAGAATTTGAAAACAAGAACACAATTCAAGTGGTTACAACTGAATAATCTCTTTCAGAAAACGTCCATTTCAATTCTACTGCTTGAAGAGCCTCTTCAGTAATTCTGGCTTTTGAATCAAATGCGGCACAGACCAGTTGAACTATAACTCGGGGTTCGTCCATAATTTTGATAAGACTCCATTGTCTGCAATGATATTGTTTCTTCTCCAGGTTTATGAAATGTCTGCACGATCTAGCATATCGACCAAAGTCATCCGCCTAGGGAACCTGGCAGGAAGCCTCAAATTCATGGCATCCTCAATCTGAATAGGTAAATGTGTTGCAACAATCACAATGCCGCCCTTCTTCCTGTGCTCTGCAATGATATACTCGAGCAGCCTCACCCCTTCCGCATCCAAGGCAACTGAAGGCTCATCAAGCAACCATATTGGACGATCAATTGCAAGCAACCTTGCAAGCTGCAGCCTTTTTCTTTGCCCCATTGAAAGCATTCTCGCTTTATCTTTTGCCAATCTTCCAAGCCCCATCAGCTCCAAAGCAGGCAGAGAGTTCCCATGTTTGCCTTCAAGAACTTCGAACCACTGAACATTTTCAAGGACTGTGAACTTCTCCTTCACAGCATCTTTAAGTGACATCCAGTTGAGCTGAAGCTTGTACTGCTGAAAGATTCCAGATTTTGTGATGTCGTGACCGTTCCAAAGAATCTCGCCAGCTGAAGGTTTAGAGAATCCAGCCAACATCCGAAGGAATGTGGTCTTTCCTGAGCCATTGCTGCCTGTCAGCAGAAGCGCTCCGCCATCATGAACAGAAACGTTCACATGACGCAGGATTTGTTGAGCATTTCGCATACAAGAAACATTGTTGAGGAGCAGCCGAGGAAGTGGGGGTTTCCTTAGAGACATTGAAGGCTTTGAAACTGATACTTGATGTAAAGTTTTTCGAAATTTCACAGACAATTATGATGGTTGAGAATCTAAAGGCAAATATCATAATCCTGACCAATCCACAAACCCAAGTCTCACTTGATAACAGTTTGAAGAAGACTAAGAACAACAGCTACCCATATAATTCCTCGCACTGAAACAAAAAGTAAGAAAACTTGTGTGGATGAATGGAGCAAGAATCTTTGGTACAACGGATACAACGTCAGTGATACAACAAATCAATGAAATTAAAACCCCACCAAAGAGAGACAAGGGACTACTGTACATAAGCTCAAATTCTGATCACTAATCTTATAGACAAACTTTGAAGGAGCAAGCCATTATCACCTACAGATAAAAAGTGAAATCTAACAATCCAAACGATACCCAGAAAAGAAATTTTCAAAAAAAAAAAAAAAAAAAAATCAGCATATTGACATCATTCGTTTAGACATTTCGTCAAACACGTAGAGTTCAATTATATAAAGGTTGGAAAGGGCAAATGTCATGTTATTGACTTACATAACAAAGGGATGGGATTGAAAGAAAATTCAATAAGCGAAATGGGGTTGAATGATATATTCTGAAAGGTGATTAAATTAAACAAATGGAAACTACAAAACGCACATAATTAGATAGAGAGTAAAAGGGAGGGTTGAATGATATATTCTGAAAGGTGATTAAATTAAACAAATGGAAACTACAAAACGCACATAATTAGATAGAGAGTAAAAGGGAGTCTTACGTTTGGAGTTTTCAGTTCTCTTGAAACTCTATTATTGCGACCAGACACTTCAATTTTTACATATCATTATGTATTAATACAATAATACTCCCAATTCCTGAACTCCCGTTTGGTTAATAATTTATAGTTATTCTTGTTCTGGTTAATACAAGAGCTTCGGAAATTTATCCTCTCATAGGAACTCCGATAAAACTTGCAAGCAACATCAAATGGTAGTAAACCACCTCTGTGTGACCGGATAAGCCGAGAGAAACTCTTAAATGTCGGATAAAAAGATAGAAACTTTCGAATGTATTATTTAAAGGTTCTTAAATTCAACATTTCTCGATTACTAATAGAGATTTCTCGGTTACTAATAAAGATGATCACGATAGGATTTAAAACTGACCGAATACCCCCCTAACAAAAAAAAAAAAATTCAAATGGCAGCCATCAAATGCATATTCTTGAAGCCAATGCTTCTTCAAAATGCAATATTGAAAAGAGTATCTCAAAAAGGAAATTTTTTGAATAAATTGCGAGGTCAATAATTGTATTTTATTTCTATTCCTTTAATCATGTTACTATAACTCAAATTAACTTGATCTCATGATACAAAATCAACTACTAAAATTACCATTCTTGTGTTTCTGACTTCTCCAAAAAAGAAAACAAAAACAAAAATTGAAAGTGTAACATAGTAATTTCTAGTCAAGCTACAGAAATACAGATAGAGGTCTAAATCTATTTTGATGATGTTACACCTCTATGCATTGCCTGAGAGTTTCCTCTTCTGCTTCAAATCTCACAACTGGAAGTTGCCGGCCGCCGGCTTCAAACTCATAATAGTACCTCAGCTCTGTCCTGTTGGAATTTTGCAGGTTCAGTTAATGACTGAGCCTCCAGAAACCCAGATTGAATCTGAGCAATACAATTCAAATTGACTCTAAATGCAATTTTGTGCCACCATTAGTGACCAGTTCAGTGTTACATTCCCTAGTGTATATACACAATATAAAAAGTATACGGTCGCAGGCATTGTTACAAGAATATAAATCTATAGCTGAGGTACATGGCGATCCCAAGAACCCAGAGATTCCATTTTATGATATTAAGGTGCGATTGGACCTTCAGGGTTAAATAACAAGAAATCAGGATTCCCCTTCATAATCAGGAAAGCAACAAAGCCAGATAACATACATTTCTTGCTTTCACAGTTAGCTGCTGATCCACCTTCGTTTGCGAGCTGGGCGCTCTGGTTTAATTTCTGAATCACCGGGAGTCTGAATCTCAGGTTTGGCAGAAGGTAGTGCCTCACTCTCCATCTTCTTTATTGCCACGGCATCCTTCTCACTTGGCATTGGGAGTTTGAATCGCTCACTTCGCTTCTTCAGCTTTTCAACTGTGTCAAGGTGCCGATCATCCAATGGTTTTGTGTCGACATCCTTGGTCTCTGGATCAGCAATATCTTTTTTATCAGCCAAGGAATGTTGCTTATTGACAGGCTCAACCGCTGTAGCAGATTCCTCAGTACGTTTGCTGGTTTCTAAAGATACACCATTTTTATTCCTATCGATGCCATTAAACTTCAAGGAAGCTGATGACTTGCTGTTGATATTGAAATCCCTCTCTTTATGGCTTGTCCAACGTTCCAATTTCGAGCGCCCTCTCCTTGAATCTTGCTGTTCATCGTCCGAGGAAGCTTCTTCCTTCTGTTTTCTGGAGGAGTTGCGGTGCACCGGTCTCTCATTCTCACCATTTCCTCGCTCAAAGGCACCCTTCAAACCCTAAACAGAATTACAAGCAATCATGAACAGACAAGAACTCTAAGAGTGAAATTTCCAGCATAAATGATTTAAGGGTTCAATCAAAGAACCACCTACATTAAGCAAGTCACAGAGAAGCAACTTACCATGGTTGTCGAAACTGTCAAAAGAAGATTATAGAAAAATAATTTCCTAGAGGGAAACCCTAGTCTTCAGCTACATGTAAAATCAAAAGCCAGGGGAAAAAAGCCCATCGGAAAGCAAATTCCACACCAAAAAATAACAGTTCTTATAATGAATCATCTGAAATAGTATTTTCTAAACTGAGATTGGTTGAAAATATGTTATCTGAGATCAACCTCGTGTAGCTAATGCATGAGGCTTATCTTTGTTCAAGTTAAAAAAAAAAAAAAAAAACACGATGTTATCTTAGCCGACAGAATGCCAAAGCATATCCAAACATAACCTAAAAATTGCCTCCTAAGCTAGCAGGCATCAAAGAGGTTCTCTATTACCATCATTTATGAGGTATCATAAATAGATACATGAGAATATCAACCACATTACACTAACAAATCTGCTTTTACAGAAATAAGAAGTATCTCACACCAAACAAATGAGAATATAATAGTGGGAGATCAAAAATGAGTTTTCTAACATGTGGATAAAAGGCTAACGACTAGTTGTTGGCTTTAAGTTTTGCATTTTGTGAAGCCAACAACTTTGATCTGCACTTTAAAGCTTCAAGATGTCCACAACATATATATATATATATATATATATAGCTAGCCAAGTCATACCATAGAGAAACCCTAATAGTAACCCACAAAAGGATATAAAATACATAAAACAACAAAATAAAGCAAGAATCATAAGTAGCCCCTATATCTACACCTATCAATGTGATAAGATACCTATGTCTACATCGGATATTAGTACTTATATTAGTAGATATGATATGATATGATATAATATTAAACGTAAATAACCACGGTATGCTGCCACAAACAATAACCATAATAATAAAAATCAATAGCCACATAAATATTACCTAAGAAATCAAGCATACTCCTTACCAAGTAAGAACTCCTTAAAGAACTTTCTCTGCATATCACTTCTAATCTTTCCTCTTTATAGCCATTTTAAAATACCAATAATAGTATTCATTTCTTTCCATTCATCTAGCATATTACATCATACAGCTACTTATCTTCCTTTTTTTTCTCTCTCCTAATCAACAAGTGTTAAGCCATGCGCTCAAATGCTAAACAGAAGCTTAGCTCAAACTAGCCTATTCTCGACAAGGATTTCATAGTATTGGCAAAATAATAGAGTAACCAAAGAGCCATATTCAATATTGCCTAAGCAGTTACCAAGTAAAAAATTTAAAAGCGTAAACCTACTAAAACCAGGCCTGTCAACTTAGCCTTGAAGAACCATAGAAATTGACTTCAAGAAGTGCTCAATATATAATATAATATTATGGAGACACAAAGCTATATGTTAGTTTTTCACATTTATCCCGATCGTTTGATCTGTGAATGCTGGCTGCCTCACTGAAAATTAGTGCATCCCAACAAAACGTTGATGGACAAGGAATATGAACAACATTTCTTGGTTTCCACAAGGTTTCAATAGTATCAAAATTTCAGTTTGAAAAATCTTTCTTTTCCATTTATTTATTTATATTAGCTCATTTTTCTAATTCAACTTCTGTGAGTAGATTTCCCATCTCTATAAAACTTTATACTCTAGTGTCTATGGAACATACCATCTCACTACTATGACCACTTTGGTCTTCTTGATTTCTCCTGGAAGCAATGGAACTGTTGTGATCCCCGCCTTCAGATTCCTTATTTTTCCTCGTGTTTTCTTTATGTTTTTTCTCAGTCACCCTTGAGTTATCAGAAGCATTAAAAGCACGATCATTACGAGGAGTTGATCTTTCTTGTCTCGATTTTCTCTCCTCATTATTATATTGATTTCCTCGCACATAAACATCCTCACGTCCTCGATGGTTCGAAAAACTTTCATCCTCTATTCGCTCCCTTCTCTTCAGTTCACTCTGACGGGTGGAGTCTTTGAGTTGGTACTCTTTATCAGAACCCTTATAGTCATCCTTTATCCTAGCATGACCAGCCCATGATTTGTCTTCGGAACCACGCCCAGTCCTTACAGTACCCCGTCCATCTTCTCTTTTGCTATTTGGTAGAATTTCTTCATGGGGTTTTAGCCTATGCCATTCTTCCCTTTCTCTCTCCCTCTGCCTCTCCCCCCTTTCTCTCTGCAACCAGACCTCATCTTTGTGTCTAACAGGATGGTGATCATCAAAATTCTCTCTAATTCGTTGTTGGTCATCTCTCTTCCGCAGCTCCAAAACATCATCCCTTTCTCGCTTTCGACGACTAGTTGAATCTCGGGGACCATGCAAGATATCATCTCTGTCAGCATAGTCCCTCCTTGAATATTCATCATCTTTTCTTCTCTTGCTAATGTAATCATCCACCATTTCATTTTTACCTTTCAAATTATCATCTCTTTCCCTGTGTCGCGAGCTAGGATCCTTGTCATAATGAACCCTATAGCTGCCATTATCCAATTGTTTTCTTGAATACAAATGTTCATCTTTGTCGCTTCTCTCGCTTTCCCGAGCCTTACCCCTATGCCTTGGTCCCATGTCATCACCATGCTCACGCTCCCTCTTCCTTGAGTCTTCAATTCTGTTTTTTCTGCTATAAGGATCCTCATCTCTCCTTTGCCAAACTGCATCAGGATTTTCCCGCTCCTTTCGTCGATCAAAACCCTCAGGTTTCATATGCACATGATGAACCATGCTGGGATCCAATTCTCTATTAGGATAAGAACCCTCCCTTCCCTTCGCAGCCATGCGATTTCTTCCAAAGTCTTGTCTCCCATCCCGATCTTTTCTTCGGAAGCTCTGTTCATTTTCCTCAAGGTGTTTTTTTACACTCCCTGTGCGTGTAGAACGACTATCTTGCATAACTTCCTCCTCAGCACCATCACGCCACTTCTTATAATCTCGGCTGCTGCCAGATCTTGCTTTACTATTTTCGCTACTCCTTGCAGCCCTCGAATCCTCCTCATCAAATTCTAGATCTGGTTGTCCAACTTGAGAGCCTACTTTTTGTTTCTTCATAGAACGAACTGAATTCCCATCTTTACGGGTATCACTTGTGGTTATCGTATTTGTTTCCTCTTTATCCATCGCAGAGCTTCCATCACCGGGCCCAAGTTCATCAGGCACATCATCTTTATTCTCGACACTCAATTCCCTAGCATCCCTAGCCGCAACAGGAGAAGACGATGGACTATTCTTATCCTGCATGCTTTCAACTGATTCTTCATCTTGATTATCATCTAAATTCTTACTCTGTGGGCTTCGACTGGGAGTCAGATGAGGAGATCTGTCGCGTGCTCTTCCTTGTATCC